TACAACCGGCCCTTTGAGTGCAATCATAATGCTGATGTGGCCCGCGATGAAATTGAGTTTGACACCCCTGATTTACATGCACTAAAACCTATATGACACACTACAGGAGAGAGCATACAAAGGGCCTCTTTAACCCAATGTTTATCACTGACTTTAGGGAAAGGTGGTTATGAAAAGCAATAGAAACCTGATCTGTTTGATAGCAGCTCTCGTAAAAAAGCTGTGTTATTGAGAATCTGGAACGTTTTCCTTCTTGTTATTGCCAACGAAAGATATTCTTGAAATATCTCAGAGCAGGTTTCCAAGGTCTCTGTTTAGCTTCGTGCTTAGCCAGATTGGATTGTGCATTAAGCGTGACTAAGAGCTGGGATTAAAGCAGAGCGGAAAAGATGAGACGCTCACTCACCTCCTGAATGGCCGTCATCACGACGTGTTGGACGGATTCCTCCAGACGCATGATCTGCTGGATTTGTTCTGTGTTTACGAGAAGACAACGGAGAGACGTGAGGGTATGGCTGCTCGATTATGGCAAAAATCATAATGTCAATTATTTGGGTCAATAATTGTACTTGTGATTATTCATTGACTTTGAAAACATCCATTTAATGGAGAAAGAAAATGTGAACAGTATGTTTTTAACAGTTGATTACCCTGAAGTATATTTCAACTGAAAAAAAAAATGAAAAAGTCATAATAATAAAAGATAATCGTTTTATTTCGATTACGTTGTTTTCGTAATCGTTGCAAACCATAATCGTAATCGCGATTAAAATACGATTAATTGAGCAGCCCTACGTGAGGGTGCAGCCAAATGCAGATTAGCACTCCTAAAAGCAACAAACAGGCACTGCAGCTGTTGGGTATGATTGATCTTTCATTTGTAACACAGCATTTAGTGCGGGGAAGGAGCGTGTGATCGGGTTGAAATCTTGTGATGATCAGATGTTGAATGATATAAAGCGAGAACCATGTGACTTTGAGTTCATCCTGAGAGTGACTTCCACAGATGGCTGCAGCTGCTTTCTTTCTCCATCACAGTCTTTACCTTCTTTCTTCTCGCAGCTCACAGCGCAGCCCAGCACGAGCTGCACCAGCTTCCCCAGCTCCGTGACATCGCCCATCTCCCCGATCAGGGTCACGTCCGGCATGTGCACCTCGGACACCTGGTGACCGAGCACCTGGTCAGCGAGAGGACGAGGAGGAGACGTTAGGGAAGAGAGGCTTCAATGGACTAAAATGTGCTGTTCTATGGAAAAGATAACATGTATTCTGAAAAGGAAAACCTTTGATAGGGTTTAGGGCCCGTTTACTCAACTGTTAATGTGTCAAACATCCAAAGAAATAACAATGTGGATCCTTAAGAGCAATAGAAGACATTAGGGCTGAGTGGATTAAAAAAAATGGACTAAAAGTGCTAATTAGTCAAAGTAATTAGGGATGCATCGATTGCAAATTTCTCAGTGGTTGCCGATGTTTTCTGTTCATTTTTTGGTGAGAATTATTCCTCTGTTGTGGCCGGGAAAAGGACACATCTTTAACGTGGAACAAAACGGCCTGTCAGACAAAAGCCGCTTCAGCTACAATTACAAACTCAATGAATACTTTTAAGTTGCAACAACAGTCTGTGGTTCTTTACTCGTTGTCCATCAAAATCCATTGTTTTTATGATAATAAGACGAGCAGGCATAAGATTCTTCACCTGCAGCGACAGCCCCTACTTCTACATTGTGCAGTCAAATATGAACATAAAAAAGGTGAGGTTTAGTTTCTTTGCCTCGGACACCTGACTTCTCAGGGCCAATGTAATTTTGCTCTGCTGCCACTTTGTCTGAACACTGCTGATGATTCAATCTGCAAAGTTTATAATTTGGGAAACTTTCAGAAGAAGGTACGACTCTCCAAATGCAGGATTTCCTTTACTGACCATGAGACAACTTGCAAAACGGGCAAATCCTGAAGAGAACTGGGCGGTGAATTGTTTTAAAGTAAGAGTAGATTACATCAGTCATCGTTCTAATCCTTTAAAATGACAGACAAACATCAGATGTTGTCCTTCATCAAATGACGGCTACCGCGACCTCTGCAACTCCACTGACTACAGACAGAGTTCAGCAAAAACAGATCAACATCGGCTACTGCCATCGGCGCTTTGCCAGTGAAACAATCGGAAAGAAATGGGGCTAACATCAGCAGAACATCGGTGCACCCGTAAAAATAGTACCATCTCCTTACATCGTGATAATACTCCATCATGCTCTTGAGAATCTTCTTCAAGTTGCTGACCTGAAAGCACAAAGCACATCAGAGTTAAAACAATCCTGATCCTCATTTAAATAATTCAGAGGAAAAGCCCGGACGTCTTTTAGTTTCTCCGCCGGCTGTCCTGTCATATCGACTGTCTCACAGATTACCTTCAGGCGCCAGTTGGCCCCGCTCTCCTCCTTGATCCTGCCGAGCCACGTCTCATTGAACCAGGAGGGGTCTCTGTTAATGAGAGCACAAGAGAGAGGAGTTGAGCGACGACAAGGACGACACGTCTCAGACTCTCAGGGGCCACGGGGCCTCCGATCTGCTGAGCACGGGGACATTTAGAGAGCAAGACACTCGTGGGAATAAACGCTCCGTTGTTAAATAACTCAAACAGCAGCAGAGCAGTGGGTGCAGAGCTAAAAAGGGACAGTTGACCCCAAAATAATAAATACCCTTTCACTTACTATTACCTCATTCACACCAACGCAACTCCGGTTCAAGCTCCGTGCTAGAGCTTTTCAGGTTCAGAACCGGTTCTTCGGTTTGGCTCCGGCTCTTTTCACACAGCCCAGAGTCCGACTGGTGCTGCGTCATTGCGTCATCGTTTGCGTCATGACGTAACCGCTTGCTTGCCTGCTTCATAAAGCCAAAGCGCGCGGAAACCCCTCACAGCTGACACCGACAACAACAACAATGGCCGATTGTGCTCCAGCTTCCTCTGTACCTCTTTGGAAGACCAGATTCCCAGTAGGTAGCTGGTCTCTTCAGGGGACCACTGCTGCTTGTTAAGTTTCTCCAGCGTTCTGTACAAACTGGATAAACCGCCGGCTTTTTGTTGTTGTTCAGGAGTTGATTACAGTTTAGTAGCTGGGGCAGTAACTATAGTAACGCAGTGTAGGCAGAGCCGTGACGTCATCTTCAATGAGAAACACAAAACCAACATCAGCCGTTAGCTGTTAGCCCTCAGAGCTCACAGCTCCTCATATCTGTTCAGAAACTAGACAAAAGTCAAACAAGTCCAAACCACAGACTGTCTGTGTCATGGAGAATACAGTCGCTGGTTCATTTATGTCTGTAGGCCGTTGTTGTGAGTGTGGACGGTCGGAGCAGATACTGCGTTAGCTTAGCCGATCTCCATTCAGAAAACACGCATTTAAAAAAAGGTGTTTCGCCTGCCGTCTGTCTGCAGAATTGTCAAAGCGTTAATTCATGGTTTTTACTAACCGGTATCAGTATGTTGTTACTTCTGCATCATTTTGAAACGTGTATTACAATTAAATCACGGTCAAATATGTTGATCTTGTTGTAGTTGTATCCCCCTTGCCAGCGATTCTCTCTGACCATTCAGCAGTCGAGAGTGTTTACGTCACTAGTTTAGCATATTCTGCCCGGTTGTTGGCCCGGGAAGAACCTTGATTTTGGAGAGCAAGAAAAAAGGTGAAAAAGTAGCCCTGAGCCGGAACTACGCCTAGAGGAAAAAAAAAATAAAGAAAACGGGCCGGGTTTGGCACGGCACGCTTAAACCGTGCCATGCACTGCAGTGGAAATGCGCCATTAGATGTTTTTAATATATTTTGCATTAAACAAAGATTGCAAAACAATCCATAATTATAAATAGCACTACAGGAGGCAAGAGGGTAGATTTTTGATTTGGGGATGAACTTAAAAAGGGATAATAAGAATAGATAATTTGCTATGAATCAATGAAAAGTATATAAAACAATTTTGTTTGTTTATCTGTGTGAGTATAAACACACATGTCCACCCACAAGATACAAAAGTAACCCGACCTGAACAGATCGTAACCGTCCTATGTTTCAAAAAAGAAATCCGACCTCACAAATCCAGACTGCTTTCGTTCCATGGTTTACGCTTTGCATAGATAACGGCCTTGTGCAATTCAAAGGGCAATTTGTCGCGAATCCAACAGATAAGCAAATCTCAGTGAGTAGGCGCTGAAGGACTTCTAGCAGCCGTTGCCCCAGAGTTCATGATGCCAACTTGGAAAGACACAAGTACAAAACAACTTCTCAAACACACGTCAGGACTTACATCTGGTGCAGCACGTTGGCAACGGCCACTCCACTCATCAGGTCCTGCTTGCTGCTGCATGATGGGACCTGAAATGTCTGCAACTGAGGACAAACACATGAAGAAGCATTATTTCAAAACATCTCTTTTTATGAAATGACACTTAAAAAGTTAACCTATTATGCAAAATCCTCTTCTTCATGTCTCTTCTACATCACCATGTGTTCCCTCTTCTCCATGTCTCTTCTATCAACATGTGTCCCCTCTTTTTCATGTCTCTTCTACATCAACATGTGTCCCCTCTTTTTCATGTCTCTTCTATCAACATGTGTCCCCTCTTTTTCATGTCTCTTCTATCAACATGTGTCCCCTCTTTTTCATGTCTCTTCTATCAACATGTGTCCCCTCTTTTTCATGTCTCTTCTATCAACATGTGTCCCCTCTTTTTCATGTCTCTTCTATCAACATGTGTCCCCTCTTCTTCATGTCTCTTCTACATCAACATGTGTCCCCTCTTCTTCATGTCTCTTCTACATCAACATGTGTCCCCTCTTCTTCATGTCTCTTCTACATCAACATGTGTCCCCTCTTCTTCATGTCTCTTCTACATCAACATGTGTCCCCTCTTCTTCATGTCTCTTCTACATCAACATGTGTCCCCTCTTCTTCATGTCTCTTCTACATCAACATGTGTCCCCTCTTCTTCATGTCTCTTCTACATCAACATGTGTTAAGAGACTCTGTTTGGTGTTTCAGCCAATCAGAGACAGGCTCTAGATATGTCTGAGACCTGTCATATGTTTGATTTGTGTGGAATATGACACCACAAGAATAAACTCCGTTGGGTCATTGTTTTGTAATTTGGTGCATACTTTTTTAGGACAAAGAATATACAATTAAATAGAAATCTGTAATTTAAGTGACTTGTTGCAGTAAACAAGTGATCAATAGATTTGTCTGAATACAGTGCTGCAATGTTACTAAGTAGATCTACTCAAGGACTGTACTTGAGGGTTTTCTTTGTATGCGATGTTTTACTCTTACTCCACTACGATTAGGAGAAATATTGTATTTTTACATGAGTACATTCACTACAGCATTAACCACTTTCCAATGTAGGTATTTACACAAAAAACTCAACAGTTTACAAAGTACTTCTACTAATTTCATTCTATTGTCAATTTCTAGTAATTGTCTGTACTAAAATGTGATTAGTAGCATAAAATCAATAAACTTGATTATTATAATGTATTTATTTGCATTGGACAATTTGAATACTTTTACCAAACAGTGCTAATTTAATAACTTCTATTAGTACTTTACAGTATGGTTTTAGTAAGTAAAGGATCCGAATACATCTTCCACCACGGCCTGAATATAAAAAAATACAAAAAATATACACCTGTTAAATAATCGCAGGGTCTGTCAAAACCTATTAGTATTATGTTACACTTAAATGACAAATACTAAGCAGTCATGGGGGATTACATTACCCACTTAGCAAGCTACTAATATTAGTTTGGGTCTCACACTTACCTCTGTGTGTAAAGGTGCTTAACAGGTGGATTTTCTCAGGTCTTAAGCAGTTACTTTGTTTAATTTACATTCATAAGTCTCTGAGCTTAGACTCAACTGTTGTGGGTTTATGTAAAGAAGCTGGAGAAGTACTCAGATCTTGTTCTTGAGTAAAAGTAGAAGTACTCAGATCTTGTACTTGAGTACAAGTACTCAGATCTTGTACTTGAGTAAAAGTAGAAGTACTCAGATCTTGTTCTTTAGTAAAAGTACTCATATATTGTACTTGAGTAAAAGTAGAAAAGTATCATCATCAAAACATAGTTAAAGTAGCGACAGCAAAAGTACTCATTGTGCAGTTTGGTCCATTTCAGAATAATATATATATGAAATGTTTTATAATGATTGATCACTAAAGTGTTCTCAAAGCTGGTAAATGTGCAGCTAGTTTGAATGACTTTGTATTCATCCAGTTCTGTAAAGTAACTAAAGGTATTAAATACATGTAGTGGAGTAAAAGTACATAATTTACCTCTGATTTGTAGTGGTGTAGAAGTACACAGTAGCCAAACATTGAAATACTCAAGTAAAGTACAAGTACCTCAAACTGTGCTTGAATGCAGTACTTGAGTAAATGTACTAAGTAACTTTACACAACTGTTTTTGTGTCTTAAATGTTGCTGACACTGCAGTGCCTTTGGTGCAGATAAGAAGCTAAAAACTTCTAAATGTGTTTACCTAGCTAGTTAGCTTAGCTGGCTAGCGAAAGTTAGCATCCAAACACACAGGTGCTACCTGCTTATATTGCTAAGTTGGTCAACAAATGAGCTCATATTGATGTATCAAGGCCTTCTTGAGAGAAGTAAGGATATATGTACTCCTACATTTCAAACACCTGCTGTCACCTGTTAGCAGGGGGTTAGCAATGCTAATAAAAACTCGTTAATATAATATAAAATTACCCAGGTTAGCAGGGAGTCACACAGCTCAGCTTTATCCAGATTCATGGTGCCGAGGGCCGGGAAGAGAGGCGGCGGACGCGGCTTTTTTAAGACTTTTTTCTCCCCCGAAGTTTCTGTTACTCTCTCCTTACTGTTTCCACGTCAGTCCTGTCCAGCCATGGCCTCCTCCTCCTGCTGCTGCTGCTGCTGCTCCTGGTGCTTCGCGTTTCTGTTCCTGCTAGTGTCCAAGCGAGCCGCCGTATTAAGAGCGTTTCCACGGAGACGGATGTTAATCGTAGCTGCGGTTACAATGACATTTCCAAATGGTTATTATTTTAAGTACGCTTAATGCCTCTTAAATGTTTTTGTGCCTTATTGAATGTGTTATTTATGTGTTTTTGTCTTATTGTGAATTCATGTTATTGTAATTTGTACTCATGTTGTAACTTGATTATATCCTCACCGAGCTTTTGTTTTGTTCTAAATATGTTCAATTAAAAAAAAATGGTAGCTGCGGTGAAATTAGTTTTTATTTGGTATTTATTTATTTATTTATTCATATTAAAGAATATATAAGAACATTATATTTTGTATTCACAAAGATAGACATCAGAGGTAGACAGATAAAGTAATATTAAATTAAAAAAATACAGTTTCATGTTTCAAATTAACAGAGTAGCCTACACAAGTACACTTACAAAAGTACTGTACTAAAGTAAGTTTGAGAAACATGTAACCTACTTAAAATGCTGAGGTCATGTCCCCACCACTTTTAGAAATGGCTAATTGTGTCCCCACCACCTTTTAAAAGCATAACTTAAAAAAATTCGGAAAAATAGCTTGCAATTAAATTAATTCTAGTTTATATGTAGTACTTTCTATTTGCATTGTGTCCTGATGCATTTGATACAGATAATGGAGCAGTTGCTTTAGGGCCTCATAGCCCTTAAGGTCAAATCATGAGATCCTCGAGAGCCCCTCGCACAACCACACAGAGCCCCCTGTTACGGCCTGGCTCATAGGCTGCAACAAAGATGGGAGACCAGACAAGTTAAGTGTAACAAAAAGCGTATTTATTTACCATAACAAAAAACAAAGGACTTCAAAGAAACCTAATAAATGTGGAAGTCAGTCATCAGTAATGACTGCGTGTATGGGTGTGTGAAAATGTGCAGAAAAAAAGCCACAGCCCTGTCCAACAGAAGAGTGAGAGGGCAGTATGGGTTGGTGTTGACCTTTTATGTAGACGGCCCAGGTGTGGCTCATCAGGTTGATCACCTGAAACACAAACAAGAGCCAGCCAGCAGAACACAACGGCAGAGACCCCTAGTGGAGTGGAGGGGGGTCGTAACACCCCCCCACATAACAAATCCCAATTTAACCCCTGGTTACTTATCCATCTGCCACCTCTTGCTATTCAGTTTTTTGTTTTATAAAAGGAGACATACAGGTTAATATAGTCAAATACATGAACTGTATATAAAAAGTATAGGCCTACTGTAATATACACTGAATAGATAGATCTGATCACCATGACACGTTTTCATTTGAGAACAAAGATTAAGACGATCATTTTTGTTTTTCAAGTTCTCTGGAAGCTATGCAAACCAAGTAGTATCTAATGCTAACTACAGAAATCTACAGAATCAGAATCAGAAACAGGTTTATTGCCAGGTAGGTCCACACATACGAGGAATTTGACTTGATGTCATGGTGCAGACATAAAATATAAAAAACAAGAAATCTAATATAAAACAAAAAATCTTTTACACCGTAATAAAATACAGTTAAATAGCAATAACATTGAAATAAAGCA